ATGTCCCGTCCGCTTCCGCTCGACGCAAACGTTCTTTGGCAGTTGCATACGTTCTCGCCAATGGGTTGTGGAGATCCATCACTCGCTGTATCGTGGCAGTGTACCGCGAACTGAACGCCGGAAACATGTTTCGTCGGTGTTGAAGTTGCTCCCCGCTGGTGTGCATGTAGATTTGGGCAAAACTTGGTTGCCGCAGGTTTCCACTTCTGTTCAGGCTGGGTAGCAACTGACCAATGTTGTGGGTCAGCTGGCCTTGAATGCAATACGTCTTGGGACCGCTGCCGCTGTGCTTGACCTCGTTGGTTCCAATGGAAGTGAAGTTGAACTGAGCGTTGCACTGACGGATGTGCTCGATGAAGTTGCGCTGCTTGAAGAGATCTTTGAACGCATGCATTTATGGCGAGTCGGGGAAAACGTAAGGATCCATCTTGACCTTGCCCTTCAAGCAACAGGGCAGGTTCTTGTAGTCGTGGGATGTCAACTTTGCTCGGCAGTGCGGGCATGTCTTCGTTTTCCCAGGAACTTGCAGCCGCATGTGACCACCTTCCTCAAACACTTCGTACGATTGCCGTCCGACGTAATTCACAGGGTTTCGGCGTGGAGGCCGCACTTGAATCGCATCTTGAACGGGATCTTGAGGTTGGAACGGTGGATCTTCGCCAAGGTCGATGTCGTGGAGGGCCTCGTTGATGAATTGAACCTCCCAATGAATGGCCGTAGGTTCTTCCAGTGGTTGAAAAGGATACGGCTCGAGCGTCGGATGAAGGTCAATGTCGTCAAGCACTCCCTCGACGAAATCAATTTCGTCTTGTAGTGCCTCCGAATCGTCCAATGGCTGAAATGGACGCGGGTTGAGCTCAACGTCCAAAGCAGCCATCTCTTCACGGCTCATCACAGGGCTTTCTGGTATGATCGGTGGCTGATCGGGAACAACCTCGATCAAGAAGTCTTCCACCAACGGTCGTTCATCAGCTTGGTGAGTTTGAGATTTCTTCACGCGTTTGGTTTGCCGGTACTCCTTCTTCTTTGCAGCTGCCGCTGCCGATTTTGCTTTCGCAATGCGAAGTTGATCCCGACGGTAGCGTTGACGATTCAAAATAGTTTCCTTGTCCTCTCCACGATACGTTGCGTTGCCCACCCACTGCTTTTTCGGACGTTTAGCCGACGTAGTCCCGGACTCCGGCCCCGAGGCCAAACGCTTTGGTGTTTGATGCAACACCATATCCGCCGTGGGTTGCGCTTGTGGTACGGAACAGCGAGAATATGTTTCAACCCCACCCATCCCATACATAGAAATGTAGGTCTGGATAAGCTGGTTGGCCACATCGAGGTCATCCTTGGTTTCGTCCTCCGAATCGCTTGGATACGCAAACTTAATTCGTTGCAACACCTCGAGCTGGGCTACGCTCCCCGCATCGGGCAGAGTTTGTATACCGTCTGCGGTAGTGTTCTGCAATTGCTGCACTGTCGCGGTGATCCGGGGTGGTGCCTTCAACTTCGCATTCTCCTTTGTCGACTTGTTCTTGGCCTTTCATTTGGCCGACACTTTGATGTGTTCCATAGTCGCTCCTGATTGGGCTATGTCATTTGGCTCCATCGGGGTAGCTTCCATCACATTCAAGTTTACGCTCGCTGGCTTGGCCGTAGCCTTAGCTTTCAATTCATTCTTGCCTAATCAAACGACATCAGTGCCAGATAGACCTTTGCCATTTGATTTCAATTCCCCACTAACAGCATGCTGATAGTTATGATTATCCGACCACGGATACCATGGACGCAGATTCACGTTATACGCAGTACGACACAAACATACCATGATATAATGGAAATACTCTCTACCTGAAAAGGATTTTTCGCAGGTAGGTCAAAGGAAAAAAATCACTTATCGTTTCACACGAAGGTCACTACGCAAATTCCACCTGGCTATTTCGACCGAAGTAGGGGGAATACAGTAGTTGTACAGTCCTCTTTTCCAGGTTACTGTTACTGTAGTGCCGAAATTTCAAAATTCGCATGTTCCAAATTACTGGCTATAATTGTTCGATTTCTCTCAATATCCAATATTTATGATATTTCATTGGTTTACCATTGCTTTTAAGCGCTGATTTTAAACTAATCTTTTGCGAAAATTCATGCAATTCCTTTCAAACACAGTATCATTCACCAAATTAAGTGAGGGCTCGATTGCCTGTGTCAATTCAAAGTAATGTCGGCAGTAACCTGGAACAGAGGAAGTACGCAGTAAAAACTACAGTGCACTGCTTGAGTAGTGAGTGCTAAGGAAACCTCAGGGAGCAACTTATTGTCGGGGTAGGCACGGTTTGCAAAGCCTCTCCGTGTGTGCTGCAGTGCATTTCGTAAGTCCGTCACTTTGGACCCACTCAGATTGCTACTTTATCCTAACACCGAGAAGTACATGCATGGACATAAACATAGAGCAGAGCATGGACATGATCACCGAGAAGAACATGCATGACATAAACGTACCTTGCATCCTCCAACACAATTCTCGAATGACGCCATGCCAGAATTGTGGTGCCACGACAGTCTAATTATACATCAATATATAACCAATGGAATAGTTGTGTCATTGCTTTTGTGTTTGCGTATTGAAAGTAGTGTTATCTGACTACACGGGACATAATATGGCTGGTTAGTAAATTGCAATAGCTGAGATATCATGATGATAGAGAATTTCGTATTCCTTCGATCACATGTCACAACAACAATATTTAACCAAATAGAATAGTTGCGTCTTACAGTTAACGACAGCATCGAATAGAAATTTGACCTGTAATTTTCCAAATCACATCAGATTTATATGGGGTTTTGTATGGGAGATGCGGAATTGACAGGGAAAGAACCTTGTATGAATAGAATACCTTAAAACATAATAACCTTTGCTTTATGAAACAAAAATACCTTAACTTAGTACAATTTTCATCCCACATATACATAACCTCTTAAACTTATCCAAAATCGCGCGATTTTGGGTATATACTTATTGAGGTATTTGAAAATAAGGTATCAAGGTTACCTCTAGCATTTATAAACTGCAATGGCCAATAATAACAATGGTTTGTTTCAGGATGAAGGGTCCATTCATAATCACTGCTGCTTGGCATGGGCGACACATCAGCCGCATGTATGGAGTTCGTCAAGATGGCGCGAGCGAGAACGCTCACACGTGAAGACCGCTTGGACATGCTTCGACTGTTCGCGTTCTACACGAGCCAAGGCGAGACCGCTCCGTCCAAGAAGGTGGTTCAAGCACTTGGACGCAACGTTGCTGTTGTTCGTGGAGTGTGGTGTGAGTACTGTGACTACGGAACTGTGACGGCAGCCACCCCTGCCGCGAACCGCACAGCGCACCCAACAAGGCTCATACACTCGACGCAAAACATTGAACTGATCCAAGCATTCGTGCGATCACGCCGTGTTACGCGCATGCGGGGGACAGCTGTTGACGTGTTGACGTACTTGAATGAGATGGACGTTCTCTCTGTGGACCTCACAAGCAAGACTGCCACCCTCGCTGGCGTCCAAGCGTCGTGGCTACAAGCGCGGCAAGAAGCCAGGATCGTCGAGCTACCATCTGTCCAAGTCGAACGTGTTGGCGGGCGATGAGTACGTGCAGCTCATGCATCCGCTTCTTACCGGCACGATCCGGCCCTCCGTCGTGTACATGGACGAATCCTTTATCCATCATCAGTACAAGCGCCACCACGACTCGTTGTACGACCCCAGCGACGAGCAGGACATTCAGCGCAAGGAAAATCACAAGTGGCGCCGATTTTGTTTCATTGCCAGCATCCTTGACTCCCCCGCGATGGACTGTCGTGTGCTGACTCTTGACATCTTTCGAGGCGGGAAGTCTCAGGCAAAGGAACCCAAGGACTATCACGGTATGTTCAACCACGACCATTTTGTCAAGTGGTTCAATTCGTTGCTGGACGACTTGGACGCGTTGGGTGTTCAAGGTGCGTACATCGTTATGGACAACGCGAAGTACCACAAGGGACGCCCTCAAGGAACACCAAGCAGTCGCCAGTGCAAGCGAACCCTCCAAGAAGCGTGCGTTGCCTACGGCATCCCCTTCGAGGAAAAGGAATTCAAGAGCGCCTTGTGGCAAAAGCTGTCGGAGTACATTCAACAAAACGTCGAGCCCCAAATCAACCAAATGGCAGCATTGAAGGGACTCCGAGTTGTCTTTACCCCGCCCCATCACTCGGATATGCAGCCAATCGAGTTGGTTTGGGCGATTGTGAAAGGCCAAGCCGGGCTGCGCTACACTGATGGAACCGGCTTGTCTGAGGTCAAGGTGCGCCTTGAAGAAGCATTTGACGACCTGAAGCCCAGTTCTATTCATGGCTTCATCAAAGGTTCCGAGGTAAAGCTGCAAAAGCTTTACGACCATCTTGTGGAAATTGATGCTTTTGAATCGGTTGAGGATTCATCAGCACAAAGTAGTAGCGCCACTGATGATAGCGACTGTGAGCACTCTAGTTAACATGCTAAACCTTCATGCATATTAATGGTCAAGACAATAGACTTTGTAAATCACAAATTACAGTACGAAGTACCCAGCGTCTCAAACAACTCGCGCCAGCATCAGCTTACTGTTATTACCCGTGTCAGCGATTCATCGTACTCTCGAGTACACTCAATATCAATCATTTTCCTTAGTGTTTACTGTTAGTCGTTGTTTTGAAAAATCTAACGTTCGACATCGAATGACAAATAGGCCATGCAAACGAAGTATACGTATACAGTATACAGTATATACAGTACCAGTAGCTAGATGACAAGCTTGGCCCATGTGATTACTTGGTTTATACTTCCTCTGTTCCAAATTACTGCGGACATATGGCTTCCCAGCGACCCCAAAAATCATTTTCAGGTCAAATTTAATGAATCCTACCATGTCTGAAAGATAATTCAATTATAAAGGTATTGTCCATTGACCGCAACGCTCAAAACCACCAATTTCGGGGTGTAATTTTGATTCGTCATCGGGCATCAGAAAAAAAATACAAAATAATACTAGTATAGGTTTATTTAATTATCCTGGGGCCTTGAGGTCATTTTTGAATTTGCCGCCATGGACTCTGCCCGCGCTCGACGAGAACTCTCGGACGATAACAAGTTGGAGGTCATCCATAACCTCCAATGCCTCCTGATATTTACTGTTCGACGACAGCCGCCTAACAGCCCGGACTTGAACGTCCTAGATCTTGGCTTCTTTGCCTCTATTCAGGCGCTACAGTACAAGTCCGTGAGTCGCACGGTCGACGATGTCATTCGCGCAACTTTGGCTGCATAAGACGAGCTCAGTGTAGAGAAGCTTGATAATGTCTTTCTCACCTTCCAGGCGGTCATGCGCCTTGTGCTAGAGCACAACGGGGACAATCAGTTTCGCTTGCCGCACATGAACAAGGCTGCCATGAGACGTGCCGGTACGCTCATGGCCAATGTGATATGCCCTGTGTCGCTTCTGCAATGAATGGTAGATACAATTATAACCAATAAGATGAACGTATTTCTGCATTGACCAATCAATGAGAAATGGGTACAGTAATTTGGAAAAAGTTACTTTTGCGTTCGTCCGCAGTAATTTGGAACAGAGGAAGTACGTATGGGTATGGTTTGGGGCCATTCCATGGAGGTGTTCCTTTACTCCAAATTGATAGTATTATAATAGTGTTTCTTAAAGAGCAGAATTAATTTACTTTGTAGGACTTAACAGTAAATCATGTCGAAATTCGTATTGGTGTTTATGGAAAATGAACTAAAAGAGTGAAAATATCCATAACGTTAGGCTCCGAGCCACTTGATTTTATCCAGTTACCTCTCAAACCGGATATGTACTTAAAGGTGATTGGTTGAAAATTTCAGACTATTTGTTTTCTACCAATCATGTATTGTGGCACGGAACCAAGTTGCCACGGAACAGCGCCCATGCGTATATGCCAACGTGCAAACTAATATGGGTGTTTCCACTACACTACATAGTAATGCGGTTACGATGCGCTAGCCGCAGGCTGCGGCTAGCAATGTACCATTGAAAAAATAAAGATATTATTGGCCAATTATTTTCACTTTTCTATCATATAATTGGACATAAATATGGTAAGTCTAGTACGGACAATTTCGTGCAATAATATTGAATATTGGGTGTTTGGAGTGTATGCCACGATGCCCAATTGCACTGGTAGTGATAGAAAGCCATCAAGTGTAGTGTAATAACCCTTGTATTTGATGTGACTGCACTATTGACTATTTACATTAATGCCAACTTGTGATGTGACTTTTCATGACAAATACCACATACAAAAATCGAGATAATAATCCTTACTAATAATTCTCAATATTCATAATTGGTGCGGTCCGCACTAATACATATGCCATACTTCGAAGTAGGTAATATTAATAACATGCTGAGTTATAAAAATCCCAATAACGTTACTACACCGTCGATCGTAAATAGTACTTCCTCTGTCCCATATTACTCGTCGATTTGACTTCTCATCGACCCCAAAAATCCATTTCTTTACCAAACTCGATGAAATTTATCATTTAATAGAGAGCATAAAAATCCATAGGGACCAACCATTGGCAGTCAAGAGCGAAACTTGAATTTTGGCGCCCAAAATCAACTTCTCATTTCCACCACCCGAATAAAAACACGCCACATATAAAGATCAACACACTTTTGAATTTGCCGCCATGCCCCAAGCCTTACGCGAGCTTTCCTGCAACCAGCGACACGATGTGATCCGACACCTACACCAGTTCATTAA